GTAGCTAGTCCACCTATAAAACTCATAAATAGATATAAATGCGTTATTTTTCATACTATCTATCTGCGAAGTTTCTATGTGCACTTCCGCAGTAAACAACTATAAACAAAAGTCATGGAAAATTCTTCACAATATTGAGAACTGTGCGAACTTGGCAGAGTCTTTTGAACGAAAAATTTATTTGACTTCTTCTTTCTTCATTCCAGCAGTCATAAAACCCCAGTTGCAAGTTCCCGTTGCTATTTTAAACTCTTTTTTCATTCTTCAGTTACAGAAAATTACAGTACAATTAAATTCAGTTTTAGAGAAGAATATCAAAGATGCTTGTATTTTTTCCTCTTATTGATCTAAAAGTATATGAGGTAAATCATAAATCTGAGAAAAAGCCATTAGTTGCTGAAAATGAGCATTACATTAGATGGAGAGTTTTCTGAGATGAACAACAAGTCTTATATAAGACTCTGCCAAGAATCTGTAAGTAGCTATTCAGATGCTGATAAGATCCGTGTCCGATCCTTATTAAATCCTTATGCAAGATTCGTCAAGAAATTTTTTTACAACAAACATTCGATTTTCTCATTTTTATCCTATTTTGCTCGTTCAAGAAAAAATCGAATGTTTGTTATAAAAAAATTTTCTCTGTATGTATCATAACTAGCAAATCCAACCAATTAGTGACACGTTTCTGTCTTTATTCTTGAAAATGAACTTTTAAAGTTCGAAACGTTGAAATATTTGTTTTAATTTAATTAGGCTCCCATTTAAATGCTAAGTAAAAAGTTATTTTTTTCTAAGTAATTTATTAAAATAATTATATTTTTTCTAGAAATGTGGTTTAGTGGCTCACTCTCATGCTCTCCACGCATCTCCGCCCACAACCGCTCCTGGGTACACAAAAATATAGCTTACTAAAGTAGGAATTAACAAAAATTAACTTAGTATTTAATAAAACTACTTAGCAAAAAAATATAGTTGCCATTTAATTATATGTATTTCAATAAAATGAAAATTACTGCTGTTATTTTATTATGTTTATTGTTTGCTTTTATTTAATAAAGTTGTACAAAGTAAATTGTTTTTAGCTTAAGTTAAAATCACTTGTTAATAAAAATAAAATACAGAAGCAACATTATCCGCTAAAATGTTAAAGATAAAAATTCCAATAAACGAAGACGTCAATGGTAATGTTTTTTTGGGCTCGCTACAGTTGAAAAATTCATATTAGCGTAGCTTGATACGTCACTTTTACGAATCCCAATTTCAACTGCAGTGTTCTACCTCATAAGTTCAAGTATATGGAAAACTTTTGTCACCACTGTATATCTGAACAGTTACATCTGCCAATACAAGAATAATACTAATTAAGTCCGAAATGTTAAGAAAACTGGGCAATGCCTCAATATCTTCATAGGAAAGCAATCATATCGGCTCTATAAGACGAAATAACGATAAATGAGTCTGATCTAGAAGCGTAGTATATGCATCTCAGAATTACAGAGTGGCGCACTCTATATGGATTTTGAGCAACCGACCTCTATATGCACTTTCTTCGAAAATCAAAATTGCTTTCACCTTTGTCTTAATACTATTCAAGTTTTCACTGAACTGTACTAGAACAGTCTTTTAATATAAATTTTTTTTAATATAAATTCGGAATGGGACTTGATCTCAAAATATGATAAATAATTTTTAAACCAATAAAACGATCTATTTTTTGACATAACTTCAAAGAACGAAAGAAAAAAAACTTCCAACGTGAATTTGCAAGAATAAATCTTCAAGGCTTTTGGTCTTATTAAGTACGTTTCTTTGTCACATTTATTGTATTTCTAAGTTATATTTCAGAATCTAATCAGTTTTTATTGCTCATCAGTGTCATTGACTCTAAAGGAGACAAATGTTTTTTGTCTGAATAGTTTTTTAATCTTTTCTCAAGATGCGAGTATTAGCATCGACGAACATTGTCAAAAGGGAACTGGTTCAGCCGAATGACCTGCAAAGTTTGAAGTTTTTATTGTTTATGATATTCTCATAAAATTAGTTTGACATCATTTTTTTTCAAATTGTCTGAAAGTAACTAAATAAATAAGCGGCTACTCTTTCATATAATTCCTTTTAAAATCATTTGGGATATATTTACTTGATAGAAATAGAAAATCTGTTTCCACGAGTTTATAATGCATTGTAACATTGTTCCCATTCCAACATAGCACTCGTATATCTGATTAGTTAACGAAGTAAAAGAAAAAAGAACAAATAATTATTAGGTAAGGATTATGGCTTAACAACTTTGGCCTTGTCTACACTACAAAAGTTAAAGGAGCTTTAAGGAATTCTATTGGCTAAAAGTTAGTTTAAGCCAATAGAATTGCTTAAAGCGCCTTTAACTTTTGTAGTGTAGACAAGGCCTTTGAGTGTCAATCGAACTTTAGAACTAATTTCATGGCTGAGAAATATTTCATGTTAAAGATTCATCGCACGTTTTTCTTCGCTCTTTTCATTAACAAAAAAATTACGATCTTTTATATTTTCTTTGTATTTTCATGAAGAATATTTTTTTATTATTATAAATTATTATACTGTTATCTATTAGAAATTCGTATTTTTTACGAAATCCATATTTGAAAATAATATCCATCAATGATGGAAATAAAAGGTTTTTCTTTTATCATCGATTATGTGCTTTGTTCGCTAGATGAAAACAATCTTTTTTTTCTTCTTTTATTGCTTTTTCTAATATAACGCCCAACATAGTAAACAATCACATTTTCTATTATCTACTCAATACTCTTCAGCAACGTTCACTTCTTGATTTTCTCTGTTTCTTTAAATTCTCAGTTTTTGATCTATAGTCTGGATTTTCTTATTTATTCTATATGAGCGTCAAACTTATTCAGTTTGTGAAAAAAAATAACGTTTCACTTGTTTTTTTTCCACTAACACGAAGAAAAATAAGATTTAGCTATTTAATTTGTGAAAAACAAGCCTTTTTCTTTTGTACTTTTTTAACAGATTTTCAAGCTAGTCCGGAGCTACCTATTAGCAAATTTTTTCCTTCACTTGTAAAATTGAATTTTGTAAGTTTCATATTTTTATTTCACGAGATAGATAATAAATGAAGATCACTTATAAAACATCAATACGTCTAAATTTGTTGCCGAAAGACGGAGAATTTCTATTTTGATCAAGAACTACTTTTATTAAAAAGTTCTTTTCTTTCATTGAATGTCAGTGTCAATGTGATTTACGTTGACACTGGTACTCAATGAAAGAAAAAATTTTTTTTAATAAAAGTAGATCTTGACCTTCCTTTTTTCCATTCTTGACACGATAAAAGAATAATAACACTATCGCAGCAACATACAGGTACTCTTTCAGAATGATTTTTATAAAGACATTAAATTTCTAAATTAAAATGATTACCAAAATATTTGAGTGTAGAAAATTTCAATTCATTGTGAATTATAGCTTTCTCGATGATTGCTACAGTCAATGCTAGCAAGAATAGTTTTAGACCATGTCGTCCACTCCATCAACTAATTAGAGAAATAATTGTTGAGCATAAATATTACTGTGCATGATTTTTATTCTAGTTTGACACAAATGACTATTTTAACTGTTAAAAAATTCTTTTTTTTGAATCATAGTTCAATTATTGAATTTCTATAGAATGACTTGTCAAGTTAGTACTGACCATCTATTTTTTTCTTCTCGCATTTTGCGGAAACGAGAAGGTTATTCAGTAGTACATTTCACTCATTGTCTTGGTGTTTAGTCTATAGTTTGACATTTCGCATTCTCATATAGTGAATTCGAATGAGATAATTAGATGATTTCAACTATTTTCATAGAATACATTCGTGGATTAAAAATTAATAATATCTTCTCTATATAGACGTGTGAACCAAAAAAAGGAAAGAAAAAAAGTTTATTTTTATCACATGTGTGACGGAAGCTTTGATCAAAAGATTGAGGGAAAGGGAGTAGTAGTAGAAGATAGACAAAAGAGAATAACAAAAAATTGTTTGAACTTACTAAACATTCCTGCAGACAGGATTTTGCGCAGTATATAGTATATATGTATACAGAGAGAAAGAGAGAGAGAGACACACTGATGGAGAATATTAAGTTTTTCTTTCTACTAATACAGCGAAACAAAAAAAAAGAAATGTTATCATCATCTCATGTAATGAACACTTGTTTCCGTGTCATTTTCATCTCTATTTTTTTTTCCAATGCTTTTCTTCTCTCTCTTTCGATGTCTTTGTTTCAGTTATGTGACATTTCGCAACTTTGAGAATAAATAGACGAGTGTTAAGGATTGAGATATGAGCTCCATTATAAAATAGGAACAATGTAACAGGTGAAAACAACTGTTTTGATTAGTTCAAATATATCTCTTAGCGACGTATCTTAGATTTATAGTTAGTGAACAGTGTTTTCTCGGGATCGAGTTTTAAGATCGTTTCATCGAAAGTTTAATTTAACTATCGTTTAGTTAGTTTTACTTTTGGAATTTCAACTACTTAATAGAATTCGAATTTTCGTTTGTTTCTAACCGGAAGAGCTAACAAATATGATAAAATCTTATTTTTTTGAATAAATTTGATTCTGGAAAAAAAGATGTGTTCGTGTATATAGAGAAATTGCTCTGTCTACAAAAGCGCATTGGTAAAATTTGTTCACTACGATAATGGATGAAATACTATTTAGTGGGTATGTATGGAGAATACTGGACCTACTTGACAAGTCAGCGGCGAGATCAAATTGTAGACAAGAGTCAAAAGCTACAAATTTTTAAGGTGATAAAGAATGCGACCGTTAGTGGAGCTCCATCTGCCAATAACCACATCAACTGTGTCATTTTCTTTTGCTAATGGAACAATTAAAATGATGTTTTCGTTTAGTGTCGTATCATTATGGATCATACGAATATATGATTAATTTTTTGCATTTTTTCTGCTTTTCTTTATAGATTAAACATCTCTTTTTGATCAGTGATGGACTCAACGAGCCAACTGGGGGAAAATATGGATACAGTAACTCTACGTCAACATGTTCTCATTAATCAAGTGGCAGCTGCAACAGGATCTGAACATGATATAGCCAAACATTTATTACAAGCAACTGATTGGAGACTAGAAGTAAGAAATATAATTTTCCATCATTTTCGTCACCATTCTATATGTCGAATGATTTGATCACTAAAAACAACTTTTTTTTGTCGTTTACTTAACATCAAAGATTATTCATTGTCATATTTAATATCAAAGTCATTTGTTTATTTGTAGGCTGCACTGTCTTTATTTTTTCAAGATCGAACTGTGCCAATACCATGTAAATTATTTTGTCCAGATGTAAGTTAGAATTAGAGAAATATCCGCATATTTTCACTACAATAAAGTTATAAATTTTTCTTTTTTATATATGATTAATCGACATTTGAGCAATGTCTTATACGATCATATTATGCTATATGAAGTGTTGTTGAACACAATCGCTTGCTTCAACTATATAATTGCAATTGTTCAAAATGTCGTTGTTTATCACAGATATTATCTTCTGATGATCAATTTCTGTTCAAATGATTTTCATCCCATAGACTTTAAGCTTTCTGAATTATTCTCTTTTCTATCAAGTATGAATGAAACGGCATTACAGCCATCACTAAAATAAAACTGTGTCTAAAATAATTACGATCCCTCTCACTAGTGCCGGTACCACGGGTTTGCTAGGGTGGACTCAGCCCAACCTGAAAAATTTTTAGAATTTTGAGAAACAAGCACATTTTCTTCTAGTATAGATGACGAAAGTTTAAGAGCGGCGTAGGTAGGGAGAGAAATTAACTTGGTTGGGAAAAATAAACACTACCCTTTTTCCTTTCTGAGTACAGTCGGGCTGAGCCCACCCTAGCTACAATTCCTCGTACCGCCGCTGCTTCTCACACCGTTCTCGATGAGAAGCGCAAAATCTATTTGATTTTGTCGGTCGAACGAAATGCAATCAATTATCAGATGCAATCAATTATCAACGAAGCATCAATTATCAGTTGACATACTAATTATTTGATACTTTTTTTGTTTCGCTTTAGCTAATGACTCCCCAACCTGCAAATACACCAGCAACACCGCCAAACTTTCCTGAAACTTTATTAGCTTTTAGTAAATTATCTGCGTCTCTATCAGACAATAACTATTCTCAACAACAAACTCAACGATTAAATGGATCTCAATTATCTTCTAGTCCAATAAATGCCATGACGATGATTAATGATTCAAGTGCGTCTCTATTTGGTACATTAAACAATTCAACAACAGCAACAACAAGATAAAAATCGTTTTTTCTTCTCGCTCTCTTCACGAATCTCATTAGGCTAATATTCTTTGTACTTGTTTTCATTTATTTAACAAAAAGCAAAAAAAACGTGCTAGTTTTTCATCGGCAGTTAGATAAAGAAAACATCATTTTACCATCTCAACAAACATTTTGAGGTAAAACAATCAGAAGTATATATTTCAGTGTTTCTATTTCCTCTTTTTTTTCTTAGTACATTGATGTTGTATTAATGAGAATGTTTTGGTTGTTTTTTTACTTTAACTGTCAATTACGGACAAAAATTAGATCAATTTTTTTTTACTACTCTATACATATTTTTTATTGACGCTATGATTGTAGCGAAAGCTGTTTAATCAAATTTTTAATTTTTTTTATGTTCGTTAGAGTCATAAGATTAAAAAATTTTAGTTTTATTTTAGTTGAATCATAGACTTTGTATATTGGTTATGATATACAAAATGATAATACATGAAAACAACAATTTTGTCGAACAATCAAATTGTCAATTATTTTTATCGAGCTAACAATCTAGTTAGCGAATATAAGGGAAGAAAAGCCGATGATTTGTATTAATACGACTTTAAGACAAATAAGCAAAAAAATAAATCAAATGATATATATTTGATAAGCATTATCGGGTGGCCCAGATAAAATCGGACACTTTCATTCGTCATTTTTGAGGCACTGTCTAGTAGTTTGTTCTGAGCTCAATCGATAGAGAATTAAATTCTTTACAAAACCTGCTATTTGAATCTCTGATAGTATTTTTCTCGTTTGAGCACCATTCAGAATATTGAAGAGTGCTGAGTTGCCTAACTGCGCGACACACTGAAAATAGAAAAAATATTTGCTTTGACCGAAAAACAAATTCTGTAAGAATTTCGAAAAAATCAGAAGATTCTATATCTTCTCACATATTTTTACAGTTTAGTCTTCTAGGAAAATTTCTGTGTGGAAAAACTGACAAACCCAAAAAAACCTAATTTTTGAACCTATTTTTCACAGACTTTAGTTTTTTTACTACAAAAGCAGTAAACGTTCTGAATTCAGGGTTTTAGTCTTATAATCCTGCACAGAATTAAATTCGGCATCGTTTGATATATAAACAAAGTTTCTCAATTGAAACCATTAATTAAAAAAATTAATTTAATTTGAGAAAATTGAAAAGGCGGCTGAGAGCTAATTATCAGTCCACCTGGCGTAGCACATGAGCAGAAACATTGTATGAAGTTGTAAAGAAGTGAAATCGATAGAGCACAAAATTCTCTGTCTAGCTACGCAGATAAGTTAGCTATTGAACCTCAGACAATGGGCTAAAAATCTACAAAAAGGAGACGACAAAACCTTGTCGCAATTTGACAACTCAGCATCCTTTTTTTTCACCAATATTTTGAATGGTGCTCAAACGAGAAAAATGGTATCAGAGATTCAAATGGCAGATTTTGTAGAGAATTCAATTCTCTATCGATTGAGCTTAAAGCAAACTCTTAGGACTACTGAACTGGGCAGTGCCTCAAAAATAACGAATGAAAGTGTCCGATTTTACATGGGCTACTCGATAGTATGAGGAAAAAAAAAGAATAAGCTGTCATTGCTCCATCGATTTAATTCAGAAACAAAACTCATAGATTGTCTTAGAAAAATATTTAAAAGTGCAACAAAGTGTAGATAAATATAATTTTATGAACAAACGGTTTGTTTTATAAGAATGTTGTTAGACATACCGTCTGTAAACATGAATTTAATGTTGTTTAATCCTTTGGTTTATGGCTTATACACTCTTATGTATAATTGAACTATTGTTATTATCCTTCAATTCTTTTTTTAATCGTTCTAAAACACTGTCTAGTTGTTTCCATATGTCATCATTATTAAAATAGTTTTCTTGCCAATCGTCGGAATAATTATAATGTGATAGTAAAAATAAATTTTCTTTTTCTGCACACCACGATGGCTGCTGCTAGTTTATTAATAAAATAGAGAATACAAGCAATCGTCTCAAGGTTGTACCGTTAGCAAACAGCGTGACAAATGGACAAATAGTGAAACTCTCTCTCTTTCTCTCTCTTATCTATATCAAATACTATTGTTATTTGATATTTGTTTAGGAATAATATAACCTTCTCTTAATGGTGGAATATTTTTTGAAAAATTCTTTTGCTTTTCATTCTAGCAAAGGGAACATCTGATAGATCAAAACAAGAAGAGAGCTTCATACCCTATTGTCAATAGTTGATATTATTGTTGACATCCATTGAAATAAATTTTCATCTTTATTTCGAGTTGTTAATATTTCATCAAATATCCAATCATCTGCTGTTGTCCATATACTTTCCGTGATAGTAGAGATATCATTATTTTGTTCAATGGGTGCAAATACAATTTTTAAAACATTCAAATCAAATAAAGTATCAACGGAGTCTGGATCGTTGGTCATTCGAAGTTCATTGGCATATTGTAGAAATTGATCACTATCCTCGTCAAATTGTCGTGGCGATAATGAATTTTGAACAAAATAGCTGGATTGATCAATTATATCAGATGAATGATAATTAAGATCAAATTCATTATTTATTTCTGACAAATTTATTGATTTTGTATTCTCAAAGTACTAGAAAGGGATAGAATAAAATATTTAACTAGACAGTGGAAACTAAACAAGATCATCCTTAAAGAATGTTTTTAAGGATAATAGAGCATGCATACAGTGGAACAGTCAGTTAAAATAAAAGGTCATCTATAATATTTACACACTCTATTTCCATTTAATTCAGCTGTTATATCATTCGAATTAATATTCATTAACGGTTGAACAACTTGTTGATGTTGAAATGGATATCGATTAATAATAGAGTATCGCGTATAACGTTTACCTATCGTTGTTGATACTAGTGTTTCATTCACACTATTATCATGTGTAATAACAGTTGCTGGTGTATCTCTGGTATGAACGACTGTTGATGATGTCTGGAAAAGACGTTTTGTTCTTGCCGGTGACCATACATTGGCAATATTTGATGATATTCTTCCAGCTTTATTCTGATTTGAATATGACTGTAAATTCTGACGGGTAGCACATGTTTTTTCTGTTTGATTAACATTAACATCGTCATTGTCATTGATATTGGATGTACAATTAAACACTATATTTTTACTTCTACATACGGGCACCATAGATTTAGGAATGACATTCGCCTTTCGAATTACAGTATGATCATTTAGTTGTTCAATTGTGATGAACGGTTTTAAATTCTTTTTATCAGACACTAAAATAACAATTAGTTCAACTATAAACAAGTCGAATAGATGAAACTTTACCTATAGGAATCGAATATTGTAGTAATTGATCAGCGACTCTCCTTTTGTCATCCTGTAGTATCTGGTTTTTGCGTTGATACTTGATGGATTTCGGTGATAGTGGTTTGGAGTTTTCGTTTATCTGAGTCTTTTTCTTTCTTGATGACTGCGATGAGAGTGAAGCTGATATAGGATATGACTCGGTAGCAATCGCCATTGTTGTTTCCGACTGACGAAGTTTGTTTTTAGATTGATAGCGGTAGAATGGTAGTTGTGGGTAATTATCCCATCGTTTTCGTCTGTTGAACGTTGGTGAAAGTTGAACATTTGTTGGGGTATAAAAGACTAAACACGAGTTATAGAAATCAAACTGATAGGTAAAGAAATAGTACTAGATTTAGATTAAGTTATTAAATGCACTGTCTTACCAATATTCGAGAGCAGACAAACAAGAACACAATAAACAACAAGCGAATAGTTTGAATTGATACTAGAAATGTTAGGAGTCTATTTTTCATCTATATCAAATTGTTCCAAGTCTATCGAAATCATTTTTTTGAACTGCTAGAGCGTATTTTGTAACCGAGCCTTGACTCGGCTAAAGACGTTATTAAAACAAATACAGACTGAGAATAAAAGCTCGCACAGAGCCTAGCGATCTATTGTAGAAAAATATTTACTCTGTACTTCGGCATACCCAATTGAAATTTTATCTTTTACTTCTTTTGAACTGTGCAATTTTTTCTTAACCCTTTACACGTAGCAATTGATCATGCAAATCAAACTTGAAACGTGTATATCTTTGTGTAGACTTGATGAAAATCTTTTTTTAATAGCAATCATTAGCTTATATAGTGTCAACTTGCGCTGGAAAAATATCCCGTTGAAAAAATTTTGCTTTAGCGCTGCATTACTTTTTTGTAGCAGTTATGGTGATGTCCTCTGGAAGAGACAATCGGGTATAAAGGGTTAAAGATCGACAACACGACCTATGCTCCTAGCATCGCTGATTACCATCATTTTCTTTCATATCGCCACCACCGCCTTTGTCCGATTTTTGTTCAATTGTTTGGCATTTAACTGTTGTAAGGATAGAAGTTGGAAGTGTGGAAGAAGCTGTGACTGCCATTTGTACAGACTGTTGTATATGATGTCGAGAGTTTTTCATCGGTATTTGTGGCACTTGCAAATTTGAATAATCAATAAATAATTTTTTTGCTTCACAAATACCCCTGAATACCATAATGATGGCTATGACTATAAATCCAATTGTAAAGGTACTTGTTAAAACTAATTTAAATGTTGACGATTGTGGCATTGATGTTAACATTACTATCACATACAGTGAGAGAAACAAGAGACACACATTTTGGACTAGCACGTCACACTGTAAAAATATTGTTAAAATAATGATCAAGCAGTGGACGATGAGAGAAAGAGAGAGAAATGAGTTTATAGAATTTAAATTTTACAGGATAGAGAGTTACAAATAATAAGGTTTAAGGAATATTTTTTGAAAAAATTCTAATGCCAGTTTTCTGTATGTTGCTGCCTATGACGACCAATGACTATAGTTTGGAATATTTTAAATAAAAAATCGGTCTTAACGATATCGTAGCTGTTGGTCGAAACAGGGCTTATAAACAGATTTTCAAAAATTTCACTGAATAATGTTTTGAGTTGGTTTGAGGATTATCATTTTGAATTGTTTTGAACATCTACACACTATAACAAACATAAAGTGCAAAAGAAGTACATTCATCGGACAATCCGTTGATAGAGAAGTGCCTCTTATAAACTTTTTTTATTTCTCGAAGTGATGTGGTTTTAAAAGATTGGATATACTAAAAGCTTAACCGGGCTCGAACTACACTATCAGTTTATTCTAAACCTGGTCATAAAAGCCAAGTATGCCTTCACTTATAATACTATTAATTTTCCTTTGACTTGAATAACAAATATCCGGCCTAAATAAAACTGATTGTACTAGTTTATTATTTCTTTTTTTTCTTTTATTATAAATTTATTATGTATCATTACCTCGAAGTTAAAAGAAAAATTTTCTGAAATTTTTATTGCATTTTGCCCATATAATCGTCAGTTGTACTTGAAATATATCTCCGATAAAATGTGTTCTCTAAACGTGACATATTGAATTTGCTCGAATCTCAGTTCGTTAATTGTTATATTCCTATTCAAAATTCTACTGAGAAAATCGAAAAGTTTCAATATAATTCAACAAGTTTCAAAACTTTATGATCCAGTTTCGTCACAAGAGAAGTTGCGTCGTGATTGAGTGGCTTCACTGGAAGCGCCTATATGGGTCATTTATAAAAACTGTATGAAAGACTTGAAGTGCCTTGTCACTCTATATGATTACTTAGTTATTTAAAAATAATACTACATAATTTATACTCATTCGCTTACAGTTCCTCATAAATAATCTGGATACATGCTGAACGATTAGTTCCCGTTTCGTCAAAGGTTTAATTGATATTCTTGTTTCGGTGACAATCATTTTTTCTGGTGTTCCTGTTTCGTCGAAAAATAAAACTAGAACTAGAACATAGATTATTCTAACTAATGAGGTTTTTTAAACAGACTAATTAAAAAGAATGCTGAATTACTCTAAATGAAGTGTATATACATGCAGTTAGAAACGAAAATTAATCACTTCTGTTTGTATTCAACTTTAACACAAGGATTTCTGTGATATATCTTGCACTGTATTTCATGTTATCTATTGCTGAAAGTAAACCTAAAAAACCAATGTTATTACTTGATACTTTTCGTTACACTCAAGACAAAATTGTGAATACTACTGTTTATTGGAAATGTGAAGATCGTTCGTGTCCTGGGCGTGCTATACAGTATGGGTCGGATCCACCAAGTATGAAGAAACTGCACAATCATAGTGGTGATGAAAATAAACGTAAAGTTGAAGAGTTTAAAATGAATTTAAAACAACGTATTGAATCACCACAATCGATAAAGAATTTATAGATCCTATATTCGGTACAACATTTAAATCTTGTCCACGTCCATTTTATCAACTATATACAATTCATTCAATCCACAACGATCTATCGACACCAAAATTATATACATTATTACCAGATAAAAAAGGATCAACATATATATATATCTATTGACTGGTATATAAAATTTATTTCATCTGAACAATATTTGTATTAATCCCAAATATATCACAATTGACTCTGAACAAGCAGCTATTAATGCCATCACATTAGTTTGTCCAAACTCCACAGTCAAAGGATATAATTTCAATTTTAAATACTGATTTAAATCATATCATACATCCACATTTTTATATATTTATTCGTGCAATTCAAAACAATTATGCTTATAATTCAGCAATATCATCACATCATACAGCCACTGGTACAATACCACAAGAAAAAAATTATTTGTGAATCGAAATGCACGATAATACGTCATTATCATAGATGTTTGATTAAAACAATATCGTTATAAACAACAAACATTAATACTAGAAGAATATCTTGAAAAAATGATACGATTAATTGGTATCAAAAAATTTTGATTTTGATTTTGATTTATTTATCGTTTGTGTTGTTTTTTTCTCTAATAATGTACACATGTACTTTTTCAATATACTCATTTGGAATAATTCAGCATTATTTTTAAGTAGTCTGTTTAAAAAAACCTTATTTAGAATAATCGGTTTACTCTCAGTTCGTCCAAAATTGACTTCTCAATGCGTCCCACGAAGTTTTTTTTCAGTTCGTCCCATGACGTACTGGCAATTTGGGGTAATTAAGCGCTCTAGAACGATAAAGTGAAGCAGTAACATTCGGAAGTGTTGGAAAAACATGACCAGTTGCAAGACCAGGACTGGCAACTCTTGCTCTGACGACCTCTTGTGAATATATTTTTGGAATAGGTAGTGTTTCCTCTCTTGCACGTTTTTTCATATTATCAACAGCAATATCAATGAGGACTTTAGTGGTATCT